AGTGGTCAGGAACAAATGTAATCGCATGGCAGGATGCTGTAAAAGGACCAAACTTCAGCCAGGAGAACAACTGAGATAATCCTTCCACAATACGAGGTTAGTCATTCATATACTGCTGCATGGGCTGGGCTGTAGTTACATCCTAAGGTTTTAAAAACTGAGCTTAAATAAACGATTAACGGTGATAAAAGCCGAGGGAGGTCAACAGTGATCACTGACTGTTTTAGGAGCTTTTTGAGATTAAATAGAAGAAAATACATAACATTAAACATGTTAACAACACAAAAGCCATATTAAACGCAGACTACTTTAGGCCCGGAAGTAGGATTCGTCACGTCATCACTTAATGACCGGATTAAATTTAACATCCAGGCATCCATGAAAACGGAATTTATGACATTTAACGGAGTTAGAAGTTAGCAGGGAGTTAGCTCGCTAGCTTCCATCTAAATATAATATACCATGTTCTGACTGAGAGATTTATGAAAAAAATTAAAACGTACAGCTCTGCTATCACTTCCAACATAAATGAAGACAGGAAAGTAAACAGCAGCGACGTTTGTAGGGTTACTGAAGTTGGGCTAGCTGGTATATAATGATGTGCTACATGATCGCTAGCGTGACAAAGCTATGTTAGCATAACATAAACAGTAAAGCTGAAGGACAAACACTAACGAACGGAGGACTTTTTTCCACTCGTTAAAAGTTAATGTGAGTGTTCCCAATGGTTAGGGGCAAATGCAGGATGCTGTAAACAGACCAAATGTGAGTCAGGAGAACCACAGAGATAATCAATCCACAATATGAGATTAGTCATTAACATACTGCTGCATGGGCTGGGTTGTAGTTACATATAAGGGTTTAAAAACTGAGCTTTAAAATGATTAGCGGTAATAAAAACCGAGAGAAGCCGACAGTGATCACTGACTGTTTTTAGGGGCTTGTTGAGATTAAATAGAACAAGATACAAAGCATTAAAACATGTTAAAAACACAACATTATTAAATGCAGACTACTTTGGGCCCAGAAGCAGGATTCATCAGGTCATCACTTAAAGACCGGATTCATTATCAGTTAGAGCCCCTCCTCATCTTTTCTTCTTCTTCTTCTTCCTCTTCAGTGCAACCGTATAAATACAGTGTACCCCTTTGGCCTCTCTTCTTTCCTACAATTCCCCTGTAGGAGAGGTTGGTGTCATTTCTTTCCCAACACTGTAAAATGCTCATATAATGTATATTTATCCACCCTGTTTCTGATTGTGATTTTAGTTCAGTTATTGTCATCATTGTGCCTGTTTTTGTTAGATGCTAGAAATGTGTAGTATGTGTGTGCCAGAAATGTGTTTTAGGGGCCATTAATGCTAGCATGAATATATAATTCTGGCTAGCTTGGAAGCTGTGATGGGTTGAGCTAACCCTCTTCCCCACTGTGTATTTGGTCGTAGGAACTGGAGCGAGCAAGTTATTTATATGGAGGTCTTTCTTTCTTTTACCTTTCTTTGTCAGGTATGTCGGATTTTGTGTTTGTGTTGTTTTTAATCTTATGTCAAATATGTTCCATGTAAGTTTGTCCTTTATGTTTAATGTAAAAATAAATGCAGCCCTTGTGGGAGAGGAGCTGGAGCGGCAAGTTATCTACTTGGAGATCTTTCTTTCTTTTACCTTTCTTTGTCAGACACAATGCAAGAACACACCAGTTACACTTATCCTCTTGTGGTTTCACATGTTATGATT